TGGGACACACAAATAAATACACACAAATAAAAATATCCACCATATTTTCAAATATTTTCTGGGTTTTTGTCTTCCCGCCCACTTCCCATATTTTCCCATATTTTCTGGGAATCGCCGATTAATTGTGTCTGTGTGTTGTTTCCCCTCCTGAGTGCTGGCTATAACACTGGGGGAGTGCCGATCCAATCACGAGCAAGGGAGACGGGGGCGAGGACGAGGGGGCGACGGAGCAGGACAAGTCGATATGGCTCCGAGAGCGGCTGCGCCACGCGGCTGCCGAGGAGGTGGAGGAGGACGATGACGAGGACAAGGACGAAGACGGCGACGACCGCGACGAGGACGAGGAGGGTGCAGGGGAAGCTGGTCCCCTGCCCTGCTTCGCTCTCGTGCTTCCAGTGGCGGGCTGGCCACGGTCACGCCACCCCCGACCGCTGGGGTGAAGGCGGGGCAGGGGACGGCCAGCCCTGCAGCCAAGACGCCGATGCAAGGGGCACGCTGTGGCTTCAGGCGGGGGAGGAGGAGGAGGAGGAGGAGGAGGAGGAGGAGGAGGAGGAGGAGGAGGAGGAGGAGGAGGAGGAGGCGGAGGAGGAGAGAGGAGAGAGGAGAGAAAAGAGAGGAGAGAAAAGAGAGGAGAGAGGAGGCGGAGGAGGCGGAGGAGGAAGAGGAGGAGGAGGAGGAGGAGCGGGCGGGATTTTGCCCTCACCCCACAGCCCCCCCGCCCCCAAAAAAACAGCCCCAGCCAGGACTCCCTGGATCACTAGGCAGGGAGGGAGGGTCCTGGCCAGGGATGGGGGGTGGGCTGTGCCGTCATCATCCTCGCCCTCGTCCGCCTCGTCCTCGTCCCCCTCGTCCTCCTCGCCCGCCTCGCGCTGGCGCTGGCCCTCCTCGTCCTCGTCCTCCTCGTCCTCGCCCTCCTCGCCCTCCTCGCCCTCCTCGCGCTCGGCCCTCGTCCTCGTCCTCCTCCTCGTCCTCGCCCTGGTCCTCCTCGTCCTCCGAAGCCGGAGCTTCGGGGGCGCGGCGGCACCGTCCGCGTCCGCCCGCTGGCCGAGCGCGTCGAGCCTGAGCTTCGGCGCTGGCCCCCGCTCCCGGCAGCCCTCCTCCGTCCCCTGCCTGCTCCGCCCTCGCCCATCGATTGTCCTGGTCCTCACTCCTCACCCTGTCTCCCCGTTCCTCCTTTCTGCCCCATTCCTCCCTCCTCCTCCTCCTCCCCCTCCTCCTCCTCCTCCTCCTCCTCCTCCCACCTCCCTCCTCCTCCTCCTCCTCCTCCTCCTCCTCCTCCTCCTCCCTCGTCTCCTCCTCCTCTCCTCCTCCTCCTCCTCCTCCTCCTCCTCCTCCTCCTCCTCCTCCTCCTCCTCCTCTCCTCCTCCTCCTCCCCTCCTCCTCCTCCTCCTCCTCCTCCTCCTCCTCCTCCTCACCTCCTCCTCCTCCTCCTCCTCCTCCTCCTCCTCCTCCTCCTCCTCCTCCTCCTCCTCCTCCTCCTCCTCCTCCTCCTCCTCCTCCTCCTCCTCCTCCTCCTCCTCTTCCTCCTCCTCCTCCCCCTTCTCTTTCTCCTCCTCTTTCTTCTCCTCCCGCCTCCTCCTTCCTCCTCCTCCTCCCTGCCTTATCCTTCTCCTCCTCCTCCGCCCTACCTTATCCTGCTCCTCCTCTGGCTCTTCCTTTTACTCCTCCATGCATGTTCCTTCTTCTCCTTTTCATCATTCTGATTATTCGCCTCATCATCCTTCTCCAGCCCTTTTTCCTCAGTAAGTCCTCCTTGTCGCATCAGGAGACGTGTTGGTGGGGCGGGCCGGGCGTTTCGCCAGAGACTCTCTCACCACCTGCATTTCTGAAGTTTACCAATTGCAACAGCTTCGCGGATGGAGGGCGGGTCCTTTTCACAATGTGGCTCTCGCCTTAGCGCCGCGCAAATTCGTTTTTTTTTGAAGTTTGCAGGAGCCTTACGGATGGAGGGCGGGTCCTTTTCAAAATGTGGCTGTCGCCTTAGCGCCGCGAACCTCGTCTTGATAATGTATAGCCATATCAACATGTATTTTCATGGCTGTCGTCTTTTGGCCAGATGTAGGACTGTCAGGGCGCAACAGTCACGTTGATCCGCAATGCTGAAATCCCAAGAATGTTGTTCTGGCACGGTTCGGGGCCGTCAGGGCGTCACAGCAATGTTGATTCGCGGCATTGACAACCCAAGAATGGTGTTTTGGCACGGTTCCGGATTTTCAAACCGTTGTCTTCGAGCGGGCCGGTTCCCTCAATCGAATGAAACCCTTGTAGGGACCGATGAAGAAGGAACTTGGAGGGAGAGTTCATTTCCACGTCATTGATGAGCCTTGGGCTTACACTGGTCCTACTCCTCTTCCTCCCCTGTCCACCCTCCTCTCTCTCCCCCCCCCCTTCCTTGGCGATCGCCCTTCCCCCCTCCCCCCTCCCAGTTTGTCTCTCCTTCCACCCCTTTTCCCTTCTCCCGTCTCGTCTTTAAATTTTCCTTCTAGACAACTCCTCCCCACCGCACCCTGGGACGTGCCAGGGAAGTACAAGCAGGGTGGGCTGAGCGTTCCGCCGCCTGACACTTCCTGGCCATTTACGATCCTGAGACTTCGATGCAAAAAATGCAAGGGTGGACGAGGAGCCGCTTTCAAGTTTGAGCTCTCGCCTTAGCCCCGCGCGCATTCGCCTTCATAGTTTCGGCAGCTTCACGGATGGAGGAGGGTTTTCAAAATTGTTCGCCTCAGCGCCGCGCGCTTTGGTCCAAAAAAGCCTGCAGCAACACCGGACATGTAGGGGGGGGCTTTCAAAACGCATGTTCGCGATAGCGCCGAGCGAAATCGGCAAATCGGCTTAACAATCTCCAACAGCTACAAGGATGGAGGTGGGATCGTTCTCAAAATGAGGATCACGCCAAAACGCCGCGTACATTTGTCATAGATGCTTGCAGCACTAGCAGGGATGCACGTGGGTCCCATCACCGTGGGGCTCTTGCCTCAGCGCGGCGCCCATACATAAACTATTGCAGCTGCTACGAAGATGGTGGACGCTCCATGTTTAGCGTGCGACGCTCGCTCGGGACCTTCGTAAACCGAGCGGCCAGAAACGTGCACATATGTAGCAGCTGCACGGACAGAAAGCGAACCATTCCCAAGATAGGGCTTTCGCACGATGTCTCCTCTCTAAGTGCATGGCCAAACGTGTAACCTTGTGCAGCAGTTCTGCAGATGGGGCAGTCAGCTTTGCCTACGGACAGTGATCTCGCTGGGCACCACCCCGCTGAACTGTATGATCACACCTCTTTGCACTTCTTACTAATGGCAAGAAGGCTGAAAGCCAGTTCGTTGTCGAAACGGGGCACTCGCCTGAGTCGAAGGCCGAAGGCCCACACGGTGCTGGTCTTTCAGATTAACGCGTGTTGCAATGAACGGGAAGACGTGTAAGAACTTATGCGGAAGTGGCCTGGGACGGAAGAGTGCATTCCAGACGCATCTTGGGCTCCCTCTGGTCCTCCTTCCCCCTCCTCCCTGCCCCTCCCCTTCCCTTTCTCCTCTTCAAGAGCACGCCGACGCGGGCGGTGCTGCTGCACGGCTGCGCTGAACTTGTTTCACTGACTGCTGGCGCGCGCTGTGTCTGAAGTGCGCATGTCCCTGCCCCAACAATAAATGTTGTCGGGCTCCCATTGTAACATATACCGCCTCGTTTCAGTAGCCCCTCTTGGCATCCAGCCTCTTGCAATGTATTATTAGCGGCCTGGATTCTAGTCGCTTTTCAACAGCCTTTAGTAGCCTCAAGCGGCCTTTAGCAGCTTTAGTAGCCTTCAGCGGCCTTTCACAACCTCTACATAAGTTACGATGAGCGCACTCAGTCAACGGAGCCGCTGGTACTGAGCACGTCCATCGAGACACTTTGTACCTGCTTACGAGTTGGACTGCCTGCAAGGTTGCGATCGATGAACGATGACCAGAGGAGAAAACAAACTACCTGACACACACACACACGTTTGACGGTCCGTACGGATTTGTTGATCTGCATTGATCCCTCCTCCCTTGCGCCGGAGGCGCCGCCAGGGAGACTCAGTGCAGATCAAAGAAAACCGCTGCGGGCGGGCGCAACGTCACCCTCCAGGACCTCAAACTCCAACTCGTCCAGCTCCGTAGCATCCTCTTTCTCAGCCTTCACCAGAGTTCCGCCTTCCATCTCAGCCGAGCCGCCTTTTTCACCACCACCTTCGACCTCCTCCGCCTCCATACCCTACTTCTCCCACCCCTCCCCTTTCACAGCCTCTCTCTTTTTCTCTCCTCCCTCCTCCACCTCAAGCCGTACCCTCCTCCTACTCCTCCCCACATTCTCCTCTGCAGCTTCACCCTCTACTCCGACCTCCTCCTACTCGCCTTTCTCCCCCATCTATTTCTGTTCGCCTCATCTTCCTATTCCTTCCCCTCCTCCACCTCCTTTCTCTCCTCCTCCTCCTCCTCCGTCCTTTTTCCTTATGTTCAACTCTCCCCCAGACGTGTCAGTAGGGCGGGCCCAAGCGTTTCGCCTGAGACATTCTAACCATTCGGGCCCTGAAGCTTGATATGTGCAAGAGTTGCACCCGTGACGTGGGGTCGTGTTCAAAATGTTGATCTCGCCACAGCGCAGCGCACACTTAGTTAAAACTGTGGCAACACTTGTACGGATGGAGGGGGACTCGTTTTTGAAAAACCTGGCCTCAGCCCCGCGCAAATTCGTCGGACACTTTTGCAGCAGTTTCATGGATGAAGGCGGGGTAGTTCTCAAAGTGTGGCCCTCCCCCCAGCTCCGCGCACAATCGTTTGTCAAGTTCGCAGCGATCTCACGGGCCTTCCCGGGTGGTTTTCCGAATGTGATTATCAGCTTTGGGCCGCGCACATCCGTCTTAAAAACTGCAACAGCTTCACCGATGGAGGCCAGTTCTTCTTCAAAATGGAGGCGCTCGCCTCCGCACCGCGCGCACTCATCCTCAACATTTGAGGCAGCGTCGCGGATGTACGGGAGCCTTGTTCAGCATGTGGCTGGCCTCAGCGCCGCACACGCTCGACCTACAAGCTTGCAACCAATGCCGCGGATTGCAGGCGGGGCTCGCTCTCAAAAGGGGGTCCTGACCGTGGCGACGCGCACAGTCGTTCTCAAGTTTTTCGCCGTCATATCACCGATGGCGGGGGGGCGAATCGTGTCTCTGGCCTCAACGCCGGGCGCACTCGTCCTACAAATCTGCAGCACTCTCGCTGGTGGAAGGGGGCGCTGGTTTCCGAAAGTGGCCTTGGCCGTAGAGCCGCGCGCACTCGTGCTAAAACCTCGGAGCGCCGTCATTGCTGGACGCGGGGTCGTTTTCAAAACGCGATTCAAGTTCGCACTAGCTTCACTGATGGAAGGTTGTTCCTTTTCAAATTAGGGATCTCGCTGTCGCGCAGTGAGCATTCGCGCACAAATCTTGCAACAGTGCCATGTTTCGGGCACTGGCCGTTCCCAAGATGGGGTTCCCGCGTCAGCGCCGCGCGCACTCGTTTTGCGATGCAGCGTTGAGCAGGTTGGAGGACTGCTTCTTTTCAAAATGGAGTCTTCCCCCAAGACTCCGCTGAGCTTAAAGACCTGGATCCTCAACGCACGTAGCGCTGAACGGATCCATGGCGGCTCTTTACCAAAATGGAGCGGTCATTTTCAACACCCTCGAAGGTCATGACCACACTTGTTAGCTTGTGCAACAGATATACGAAGGGGAACATCGCCGGGCACCTCGCTGCACTGTATGATCATTGCTCCTCGCGCTCCCGATTACGCGCCACACGGATGCAAGGCACCTCCTTCTTAAAGCGGGGCGCTCGGCAACATGCCAGGCACAACTGTGCTGGTCCGTCACGGGGGGGCGCTGCTTGCAGTGAAAAGGGGAACTTGTAGGGGGGAGGAGACTTGGAACGAGAGGGTCTACTCTGGTCCTCCTCCTCCTCCTCCTCCTCCTCCTCCTGCTCCTCCTCCTGCTCCTCCTCCTCCTCCTCCTCCTCCTCCTCCTCCTCCTCCGTGGCTCGGCGGCGTGGCCATCTCGGCGGGCCCGCTCGCACTGCAGCCCCCAGGCGCCCACGGGCGCGACCGAATGCGCTGGTGGAGCGCCGACCAGACGCCGCTGCGTGGGCCCCTTCGCGACGACGACGACGACGACGACGACCAACGACGACGATCTCGGCGGCTCAGGGGCCAACGAGGAAACGCAGACATGGCCGGCAGCAGATCTCGACGCCAATCGACGCCGTCGACCCTAAGTCGACGCCAATGAACGCCAACCGATGCTGGGGCTGCCCTGGCGGACCCTCCAGCGCCGCAGCTCGTCCGGCCCGGATGGGCCGCAGCCGCTGGCGCGCGCAGCGCAGGCTCCGCCTCGCCACGTGCCTCGCCAGGCTGTGGAGGGGGACCCGAGCCTCCATTGGTGGGGCCTGCCGTGGTCTGTGGGCTGGGCGGACGCCCCCGTGGCGGGCGGGCGGCGCTGCGGACGATCAGGCGGCTGCCCGTGTCGGGGCGCGGGCAGCGGCCGCACAAGCCGAGGGGACGACGCCGACGGGTGCGGCGATGGCAAGTCCTCCTCCTATTACTCCTTTTACTCCTATTATTCCCATTACTCCTCCTCCTCCTCCTCCTCCTCCTCCTCCTCCTCCTCCTCCTCCTCCTCCTCCTCCTCCTCCTCCCCCTCCTCCGCCGCCTCCTCCTCCTCCTGGGAGACGGGAGCGGGAGACGGGCGGCGCGAGGACGGCAGGCGGGCCGGCCCCACGAGCGAGGAGCCGCCAGAGGACCACGCCGCGCGCGAGGAGGGCGGCGCGAGGTCGGCAGGCGGGCCGGCCCCACGAGCGAGGAGCCGCCGGCGGGCCGGGCCACGCCGCGCGCGGCTCCGCGTGCGGACCCCGCGGCCCACAGGCCAGCACGGCCGCCGGCGAGGAGGCCAGGTGCGGCCGACCGCGCGGCGAGCGGCCGCGGGGCCCCCGAGGCGCGGCGAGGTCGTGCAGGCGCAGGTCGGAGGGCCGGCGATGGCCGACGGCGCAGCGGGGCCGTCTCGGGCGGCGCGCTCCCAGCCGTGGCACCGGGGTGCGCCGCTGCAGCGAGTGCTGTGGCGGCGGGCCCGCCTGGCGGACGCCGCCAGCGGAGGCTGGCGACGTGCAGATCAGCAAAGTCCTTTGGTCAGGAAGGCGCCGCTGGCGAGTGGCTCGCAAGAGGCGGCAGGCGGCTCGGACGGCCCACGACACCCACGCCGTGCGGCGCGCCTGCACTGCGGGAGCGGCACGAGCTGGAGTCTCCATCCAGGGGGGGCGGTCGACGTCAAGGGCGAGCGGGGGCCCTGGTGTACAGTGGAGGCCAGTCCACAAGAAACCTTCCACAGAAAACACAACCCTGAGACCCCAGGACGTCCACAGATGTTTGGTGTGGGATCGTCACGATTTCCATCGCAAAACCACCGAAGCCCACGAAGCCCAGGGCACACTGGAGGCGAGCAGGGTGTTTCTTGGCATGGGTCTCCACTGTCAGGTTCCCCTGGCTAGCCGGGCGCCGTCGTGGACTCTGGCACGGCCTGGAAGGAGTCGCAAGACCAGGCTCGCCAGCTCCAAAGGACGGCCCTGGCACGGTCCACGCGAGTCCTGATCTGGGGGCCCGTGCCGGCGGACAACCAGGCCAAGCTCGAGGTCAGACACCAGAGGCTCCTCGACACTTCCGGCAGGACATTCAGCCTCTGCACGCTGCTGGACCCGAGCGGCTATCAGACATGACCCCTGGAGGTGAGCTTCCGCACCATGCGCCTAGCGACAGAGAGCCCAGGGGCGGATGCGCAATCGAAATCTTCGCCAGGGTGGGAATCACAAGCGAGGAGGCAGAGATGAAGGGCAGCAGGCACCAGGCCTCGATCGAGAAGGCAGCGAAGAGACACGGGTGGCAGGCCGCGATCGAGGAGCCCAAAGCATCCGGCACTGGAACGCGATCGAGGCACCAGGTCGCGGGCGAAGAAGCGGCGAGGACCACGAGTCTCGGGCGCGCGGCCACGATCGGGGAGGCGGCTGCGAGCTTCGGGCAGCAGCTCGCGACCGAGCAGACAGCAGGCACGAGCTCCAGGGGACCAGGTCGTGCACGTGGCGATGCAGCCCTCGGGCGATCGGCACCGGACTGCGACCGCGGAGACGGCCGACCAGGACCACCGCGGAGGGGCGCAGCACGCTGGCCCTGCGGGCGGATGGCGGGCGGGGGGGCCGCCGCCGGCACAGAAATGATCCCGCGGCGCGGAAGGCGGCGCGCCTGCCTCGGTGCGCCTCCGATGTGGCACTCGCGCTCGCGAGCACCGACACTCCAAGAATGCCGCTCATCTTCCTCCTCGTTCCCCCTCATACTCGTCTCCTCCTCCTCCTCCTCCTCCTCCTCCTCCTCATATTTCGCCTCCTCCGCATCCTGACCATCATCCTCCTCCTGGCCAAACGGCCGAGAAGGTAGTTGTTCTTCATCCGACTCGCCTCCACCACCATGCCCGCTTTCCACCCTCTCAACCCCACACGCACGCGTTTTGGCGTCGCGGCCACGCGCGCGGCGGCGCGGCGTAGGTCAAGTCATGCGGGCTCGCGTAACCCCAACACAAACACACGGACACACTTTCAGCGTCACGGCCAGTTCATCCAACTCAGCGAGGGCAGCAGCGGGACGCGCCAAAGACAATTTACCAACGAACGTGTGCCGCTGGGCTTCAAGCCGAAGGTTGAGGCATGCAGGCACAAAACTGGGCCAGAACCCCTGCGCGCGGAAGAAAAACACGTGCACCTAGAAGTACAAAGCAGAGGCGATGCCAACGATCAACGATAACGATAACAACGATCACAACGACAGCGATCGCAACGACAACGATCAGAACGACAACGATACCAACGATAACGATAAGTATAACGATAACGATAACGATAACGATAACGTTGACGAAAACGACAACAACGATCACTACGACAACGATCACAACGATGGCGACAACGGTAACGCTAACGACAACAACGACCACAACGACAACGATACCAACGATAAGCAAAGGCGATGCCTCAAACACACACACACACACACACACACACACACACACACACACACACACACACACGCGCTGTGGGCGCTGCGGCCGCGCGCGCGGCGACGCGGCGGAGACCGTCGAGCGGGGGCGAGCGGGACCCCTGCAGCGCGCCGCCGCGCCGTCGCTCCGCAGCCCCGGCGCCAGGCGCTCGGGGCCCGCCCCGGCCCGGGGAGCCACGCCGTGCGGGGACCCACGGAGGATGCAGCCGATGGTCAACAAAAAACGCAAGCAAAAATCACAAATAGTCAAGCACGACAAGTCGTCCCCATAGTATTGTTTCCTATGCTTGACAATTCCTCCTGTAGAGGGACCAGCCCGACTTCACCGTGGGGGGAGGACAGGGGTGCGACATGCAAAGGCAGGGACGACGTGCGACCACGCGAGCGAGCCAGCCGGACAGGAAGAAATCAGAGTCAGACATCGCGCCAGTCGGCCTGCCCCACTCAAGAGCCAACATGCTCGGGCCGAGGGTCCCCTGTCCCGGGGGTGCACGGCGTGGGAGGCTAGCACTTCTTGGTGCGATCACCGTGCCGATCCACAACTGCTCGTCGCAGTGAGCACCCCATGACCTCGGCTGCTTTCGGCCCCAAGCTCCGCTTCCTCCATCTCTTTCAGCTGAGCTAAACTGTACTGCTGATGACCCTGGCTAGTGCTGATGGCCCTGGCCCAAGGGACGACAGTTCTCCCAGAATCTGCGCTTTTGTTCAAAATCTCCACGCGCCAGCTCCTCCAATCAGCGGCCGCCAGCGCCGCGGACTGACAAGAACGCGTGACACGTGCGAGGATTCAGCGCAGACGAGGAAAGGGGAGGGGAGGAAGAGGGGCAGACAGGGAGGGACGTGCTGCGCTTGCCGCCCCGCAACCTGTCGGAGAGGCCGCGGCACAGGAGCTCAAACTTCCCCTCCAGCCGCTTCTCCGTGTCGCCTCTCGGGGAGGAGGGGGAGGAGGAAGTGAGCGAGCGAGCGCCGGATCCGCGCGCGCGGCGTGGGCGCCCGCGCTGGCCCGTCAGGGCGTGGCGGTGGAAGGAAATCGCGTGCGTGGCAACAGACGCCATGATGGAGCGTCGAAGAGGTTTGCAGGTACGTTGGGCCCTCCATCCCCTCTCCTCTGCTCCTCCATCCCCTCCCCTCCTGCGTATCCCCTTCCCCCTGCTCTCGCACAACCACCGAAAGAGCTCCGTGGACCCCTGCTGCCCTACCTCGCCACCCTCAAGCCGCCACCCTCTGAAGCTCCGCTCTCATATACGTATATGTACACGTACGTATGTATATGTCTGCATGTGTATGTATGCTTGCATGCATGCCTGTATGTCTGTATGTATGTATGTATGTATGTATGCATGTATGTATATATGTATGTATGTATGGACGTACGTACGTATGCATGTATGGTTGGATGGATGGATGGATGTATGTATGGGTGTGATTGTGCACATGTATGCATGTAAGTGTGCATGGTTGTACGCAGGTATATATTCATGCATGTGTGAATGTAGGTGTGTATGTATGTGTGTATGTATGTTTACATGTATGGGGGTACGCATACATGTATGTATGTATGCATGTAAGCAGTATGAATATAAGTGTATGTGTATGTATGTATGTATGGTTGTATGTGTGCTTGTTTGTATGCGTGCATGTATGTATGTACGTACGTATGTATGTATGTATGTGTGTATGTATGTAGGTAACTAGATGTGTATGCATGTATGGGTGCATGTGCGTGTGCTTGTATGAATATATGTATGGGTGGCATGCGTGCATGTGTATGTTTGTATAGCTGTATGTGTGTATGTATGTGTGTATAAATGTATGTCTGCATGCATGCATGCCTGCGTGCACATTTGTGTGCATGTAGGTCTGACTGCATTCCTGTGTTGGTGGATGTATGCGTGTATACATGTACGTATGCATATGCGAGTGCATGTATGTGTGTGCGTATGTATGTGTGTATATATATGTATGTAGGTTCGCCCCTCCGCACCCCCCAACGACCATCTTTCTCTTCCTCCTCTCTTATCCTCGTCCTCCTCTTTCTCCTCCGCGTCATGTTCCTCATCGCTCTCCCCATTCTCCTCATTCTCATTATCCGCATTCTCCTCCTCATTCTCCTCATCTTCTTCATTATCCGCCGACCCCTTGTGGGTCTCTAGGCGTGTGAGAAATTTCCCCCCCCCAGAACCCCCCCCCCCAGGGACCCGAAACCGGAGATTTGACCCCCTCCCCCGTCGCGTACCACGACCCCCCGCCGAACGCGCCAAGAGGGAGCACAGGGCCCAGAAACGGGCCAAGAGCGCACCAAGGGGTCTCCGAGACGGTCCAAGAAGGCCTTGAGTAGCCAAACGAGCGGTCCACGACGACCAAGATGACTCCAAGACAGGCAGAGAGACCTCCAAAACGGCCCAAGAGGCCTCCAAAATGCGTCCCAAAAGGGTCCCTAGACGCAAGAATGGGCCCATTCCCTTCGTAAAACGTACAATGTTCACACATTCGCCTTCTGGGTTTTCCGATGCTCCCAGACGGCCCAAGAGGTCCCCAATACCGCCCCAAGACGGCCCAAGAAGCCTCCAAGAGGGCCCCAAGATAGCCCAAGAGGGCCCCAAAACGGCCCAACAGGCGTCAAAGACGGCCCAAGAGGGCCCCGAAGACGGCCCCAAGAGCGCTCCAGGAGCGCTCAAGTGGCCTCCAAGAGAGCTCAACATGGTCCCACACGGTCCAAGAGCGATCAAAGACACCGAAGATGGCCTCCAGACGGCCCAAGATGCCCCCAAGAGGCTCCAAGAGGCATCCAAGATGCGTCCCAAGAGGGCCTCTAGACGCAAACATTGGCCCGCTCCCATTGTAAAACGTACATGTTCCACAAGTTCGCCTTTTGGGCTTTCCGACGCTCCCAGACGGCCCACGAGGCCCCCAAGACCGCCCCAAGACGGTCCAAGAAGCCTCCAAGACGGCCCCAAGACAGCCCAAGAGGGCCCCAAGACGGCTCAAGAGGCGCCGAAGACGGCCCAAGAGAGCCCCGAAGACGGCCCCAAGAGCGTTCCAGGAGCGCTCCAAGTGCTTCCAAGAGAGCTCAACGTGGTCCCAGACGGTCCAAGAGCGATCGGAGACACCCGAGATGGCCTCCAGATGGCCCAAGGCGCCCCCAAGAGGCCCCCAAGATACGTCCCAAGAGGGTCCCTAGACGCAGAAATTTGCTCATTTCCTTTGTAAAACGTATATGTTTCACAAATTCGCCTTTTCGGCTTTCCGACGCTCCAAGACGGCCCAAGAGGCCCCGACGACCGCCCAAAGACGGCACAAGAGGCCCCCAAGACGACCCCACGACGGCCCAAGATGGCCCGAGACGGCCCGAGAGGTCCCCAAGACGGCCCAAGAAGGCTCCAAGACGGCACCAAGGGGGGCCTAAGAGGGCAACCGAAAATTCAAAAATCTAGCTTTCCGCCCCCACGAGCCCCCAAGAATGCCCCAAGAGGCCGCCAGAGGCCCCAAAGAGGCTGCCAAGACGCCCCAAGGAGCCCCCAAGAGGCCCCCAGGAGGCCCCCCAAAGACCCCCAGACGCTTCCGTATTGCGAGCCGTGAAGCCAACTGCAATGCACTCCGCGCATACAGCCTTACTCTTCCTCGTGAAATGCTCACTCTCTTGCTCGGCGCTAATGTGCTGCTGCCGCGCGAACTGTTCCGTGCGCGCTGCGAACGTCAACAGCCTCTTCACCCGTTTCGACTCATCTGCCACATCTTTCGCGGCGATGCCTCGCTGATCACAGCTTCCGCACACCACTCTTGCTCCTTTCGTCTTCCGGTGGTCCTCCACTTGGCTGCGGGTCGAAAGGCCGACCTCCCAGAAGGACACCCCGCACCCGGGTGCACAGCACGCAAGGCGCTCGCAAAACACGCCCCAGACCACCGGCATCACGCAAACATTTGGACCCCCTACGTATCTGCCACCACCCGCGCGCGACATCGCACCCTCACACAAGACGCCGCTGGCCTCGCAACACTCACAGAAGGGGTCGGCGAATGTGGCGTAAGCCTGTAAAATATTTCTCATCATTATGCTCATTATCCTCCTCATTCTCCCTCTCCTCCTAATTCTCCTCATTCTCCTCCGCATTCTCCTCCTCGTCCTCCCCCTCCCTCATTTGCTCCCCGCTCTCCGTCGCTCCTCCTCTTCCTATGAAGAGGAGGAAGATGATCTGGGATCTGCTCATTTCCGATTGAAATAGTATTAGGAATTTGATCACATTCAATAGGAAATTCTTTGGATCTGGGACCTGCTCCGTTCCTATAGAAATCCGATTAGAAACCGATTCAATTTGGAATCCTCTGGGTCTGGGATCTGCTCCGTTCTTATTGAAATCCGATTAGAGTCCGATTCAATTTGGAATCATATGGATCAGGGATCTGCTCCGTTCTTATTTGAATCCTTTCAGGGCCCGATTCAACTTCAATTGGACTCCTTTGGATTTGAGACGTGCTCCGTTTCTATTGAAGTTTCCTTCTCTTCCTCCGCTTGTACACATGTTTTGGAGAGGGAGAGGGACAGAGAGAGAGAGGGAGAGAGAATCAAGGAGGGCTCCTCTCTCTCCTTCTCCTCCTTCTCCTCCTTCTCCTCCTCCTCCCCTTTTAGTTAGAGAGAGAGAGAGAGAGAAAGAAAGAGAGAGAGTGTGAGAGAGAGAAAGAAGAGAGAGAGAGAGAGACACACACACACACAAAGAGAGATAGAGAGAGATGGACAGAGAGACGGACAGACAGGGGAGAGAGAGAGAGAGAGATGGAGATGGGGGTGAGAGTTAGTTCCTCTCTCATCCTATTCCTCTCTCCTCCTCCTCCCCGCATCTGCGTGAAAGACAGAAGGGGAATATAGAGAGAGCGAGAGAGAGAGAGAGAGAAAAAGAGAACGAGTATTCCTCGCCTGCTGCGGCCGCTCGAACTCTTTCTTTCATGAGGAAAATGATGATGATGAGGAGGAGGAGGAGGATCTGAGATCTGCTCTTCCTATTGAACTACTATCACGAGCTGAGCTTGATCAAACACGATAGGCACTCTTTGGATATGGGACCTGCTCCGTTCCTATTGAAATCCGATTAGAATCCGATTCTATTTGGAATCCTCTGGATCTGGGATCTGCTCCGTTCGTATTGAAATCCGATTAGAGCCCGAGTCAGTTTGGAATCCTCTGGATCAGGGATCTGCTCCGTTCTTATTCAAATCCTTTCAGGGCCCGGTCCAACTTCAATAGGACTCCTTTGGATTTGAGACGCGCTCCGTTTCTATTGAAGTTTGATTCGAACCCCATCCGAATTCAATAGGAATCCTCTCGATCTGGGATCACTTCCATTTCGCATTGAAATCGTACCCGATTCCTATTCAAATGGGATATGCTCCTTTCCACTTGAAGTCCTTCTCTTCCTCTTCTTGTACACATGTTTTGGAGAGGGAGAGAGACAGGGAGAGAGAGAGAGGGAGAGAGAATCAAGGAGGGCTCCTCTCTCTCCTTCTCCTCCTTCTCCTCCTTCTCCTCCTCCTCCCCTTTTAGTTAGAGAGAGAGAGAGAGAGAAACAAAAAAAAAAAAAAAAAAAAAGTGTGAGAGAGAGAGAAGAGAGAGAGAGAGAGAGAGAGAGAGAGACAGAGAGAGACAGAGAGAGAGATGGACAGAGCGACGGACAAAAGGGGAGAGAGAGAGAGAGAGATTGAGATGGGGATGAGAGTTAGTTCCTCTCTCATCCTATTCCTCTCTCCTCCTCCTCTCCGCATCTGCGTGAAAGACAGAGGGGAATAAAGAGAGAGAGAGAGAGAGAGAAAGAGAAAGAGTACTCCTCGCCTGCTGTGGCCGCTCGTACTCTTTCTCCCCTGAGGAAAATGAGGAGGAGGAGGATCTGAGATCTGCTCTTCCTATTGAACTATTATCACGAGCTTGATCAAACT